GGACGGCGAATAAGCCTCACATTCATCACGTAACGAAAAGCCCGAGCTTGTGTATTTTTTGCTAGTGCAAGTAATTCATATTTTTCTGATGAAATATTCACTTAACTTGGCTTTCTTTCCTTGACAACTGATTTCATATTGAAGCCATGGTTTTTGCCATCTCCCCACAGAGCTGGCGCACCATGGAATCGAGGTTCTGCTACGTCGACGAACTTCGTCAGATATATCGAACATACCAAACTATGAATTTTCTTTATTTTAATTTTTCGCAAGTTGAAAAAACTAATGACTCTCCAGATGAAAGGAGGTTCCAGGAGTGTTGCTCCCACGTTTCTAGCCCTTCGGGAAGAGCGCTTCTCCGGATCGCCGGTAGGTTGTGCGTGTACGCAATCAAGTACTAGGTGTAAATGTCTGCATTATAGTTACATCACTAAAAATTGTTTTTTACTTGCAATATTGCAAATTGAATGTTCGCAACAACCAAAAAGCTTCGCCGCCACGCGGCGAGCACTTCCGGATTTCATTGACGCACAGGCTATATACTGCTAATAAATCTTAGAAGGATGCATTGGCTTCGTCTTTTTCCCCACGGTGGAAGACAAGAGACACAAATCCCTGTTTCTCCCCATTTTTCCACAAGAGATAAGAGCCGTCCGATGCCCAGTTTTGGTTGCGCCGAAGAAGTCAATTTGTCGCAACTCGTGTATTGAGTATCATAGAAGTTGCGGATCTCCCATTCCTAAGCTCCTCCTGCAGCGTCATGCTTAAATCATACAAAAAACAACAACCACTCGTACGCCTTTCAGAGCTTGTACGCCTTCGTTTCCCCATCATGCCACAATGCTCTTAGAGTTGCTCACCTCTCCATGAATTGCACACTCATGATATCACCTGCATTTATTTTTCCCCAGTAAGTAGCTTTAGACTCTCCATTTCTGACGTTTCAAGTTAAAGAAGCGAGTCCGCATAGATCTGATCCAGACGCCAAACGAGATACGCAAATTTGGGGAACTAACCATAGCGGCGCGCAGTCCAGGTGCTGACCTACATTATATGCTTGTTAAGGACCATGAGTCCTTCCACATTTAGTCTACATATGCCTGTCTTTGTTTGTGCTAGCAGCTGCCTCGTTCTGTATAATTTGACCAGGTGGCTGCAGTGAGAAGTTAGCCGGTTATATG